TAAACCGTCCAACGCTCATGCATGATCCTACGCAGGCGCTACATTCACTTGTCTTGGACATACTGAAATGTGGTTTCTTATGCAGTGTAGAGATTTTAGAGAGACTACATGAGACCTAGAGGGAAATGTTTTATAGCTAGTGTAGTTCGTTTGTCTCAAAATTTTAAATTTGATTGTCAGGCTGTCAGGATTATGGACCTGTTTAGTTGTGTTTTGCTGTTTTTTTCCCCCCTGTGTTCCTTATATGATCTTTTTCCTGTCCTCGTTTAGTTTAATTAGCCATTCTGTTCACCTGTTTTTGTTAATTATCCCTTGCATTTAAGTTCGAGTCTGTGCTGTCTGTCTTTGTCCGAGATTGTACGTCAACAAAGAAAGATGGCGGCAGGTAGAGCAGGTGTAGCTATAGCTCTCTTAATATATGGATTAGTTTTAACTTTCCTAAGACCGGTTAGCACCAATACATTTTTAAATTATGTCAGATTTAATCGTCAACATCTTTATGGGGAAATTACTTTCGAACAACATCGATATATCAATTCAACAAACGAAACAGAAACCACTTTAAATACACAGGACATGACGAGAAACACCTGGGATCAATAAACATAATTGAACATGAGAGAAAACTGGGTCATGGAAAGCACGTGGGGGAGGAAAACACAAAACATGGAACACAGGACTGACATTACTCCCCCCTCCCGGAAGGCGCGTCCACGCACCCCACAACATCCAACGGGGAGGGGGGGTGGGCGCTCTGGAGGCCGCTCAGGACAGACACAGGATAGCAGGCCTCCAGAGCGGTACCCGTTCTGGGTGCCATGGTGGAGCAGGCAGACTAGGAAGCCATGGCGGAGCAGGCAGACTAGAAGGCCATGGCGAAGCAGGCAGACTAGGAGGCCATGGCCGAGCAGGCAGACTAGGAGGCCATGGCGGAGCAGGCAGTTCAGGAGGCCATGGCGGAGCAGACAGTTCAGGAGGCCATGGCGAAATAGGGAGCTCGGGGAGCCTGGCCTCGGCACTCGGCACGGCCTCCATGGACGGACCCCTACTACCCCCCCCAAAAAAAATCCTTGGGGAGAATGTCGGTTTCAGAGGCCATCTGTAGGCCTAACTCAGGAACTGTGGCCCTCCCTAGGCTTGACTTGGGGACTGGAGCCCTCCTTGGGCTGGACGTGGGAACTGGAGCCCTCCTTGGGCTGGACATGGGACATGACATCTCCATAATTGCGGGGGGGG